GTGTAGAAGGCTTGACAGCAGGCGAGAGCCTGGACAAACATCTTCCACGCCTCCATTGGCCGAAGTGTTGCCATCAAATATACCCCTGCCAGAAAGAAACATTGCGCTTCCAACACACCTGTCCGGCAGAGGAGATGGCCCATCCTTTTCTGGGCTGCAGAGAAGTACGACTCAGACTGCTTGAACTGCGGGGACGAGCGAAATGACGAGGCATCTTGCTGTTGTCCACCATCAAATGGCCCAACAATCGAGCCGTGAGCATATATCAGGAGCTACACGACAGTCAGCGACCTCGGCGAGAAGATTGTGAAAGATGCCATCTCACCAGTAGGCACGACTGTGCGTCCCATCCGATGCCGTTGAAGCGGGCATCACGCATATACCGGTGAATTTTGGCTTCCTCCAAGACCGGATTGTAAATGAAGACATTGCTCATGAACCTTGCCACCAGCTCCTCTTCAGCGACATGCTCGTCAAATTCCGGTACGATTGACAGGTTCTGTAAGGCGCCATGGCTGGAATTGAGGAGGCCTTTCAGGTCCAGGTTGGGACTAACATCATCAAAGACTGACCACGATAAGACTCCTTCGATGTTCATGTGACAGGGGGCGGCATCCTTGGATCTTTCGAGACTGGGTGAATTCAGCGACTTTAGCCGAGACAGGACTCCACGACTGGGGCTGTCAGCTGCGTTACTGGGGGCTGCTGGGGCGATCTGAGTCCGGGCACTGGGCGACCTCAAAAGCTCCTCGATGGTGTTCAACTTGTCCAAAATTGCCAGGCTCGCGGAATCGAAGCTGCCACGGTCAGAAGAGGGTCGTTACCAGGTAGCACGTCCGAAGATGTGCCGCCACACAGACATACGTAGAATGGTCTCCTTCGCTATATGTGCACTCGGCGCCGATCGACAGGCAGGAGGAACAGGTTGGACGAGCATTATTGCATTTTGTTCGACGAACCCTGCACTTCTGACAGGCTTGGATGGCTCTCTTTCGCGGATACGAGGACTTTATCCGCGTGGCAGGACGCTTCCGCGAGTCGTTCAGGACGTTTTCAGCCTCCATTGTGCCGATGAAAGAGCCATGTTGCTGGATGGTTGCCGGCAAATGGCCAGTATGGAGAGACGAGGAATCATAAGCAGGCTCGTTGGAATGGAGAATGTTGCGGAGCGAGCTTTCCATTTGCATTGCCGATATCAGGAGTGAGCTTTCTACTCCACCGGGACAACTGGGGTTTGAAGATCTGGGGAAGTGATACTGGTTTCTGGAGAGGGAGGGATGAGAAGTTGGAAGAGCGGAATGCCGGGGAGTGATAAAGACCAGTCAGCGGAGTACTGGAGGAGAAGCAGCTTGAGCTGGACTGATTTCGTTGCGGGGAGATGAAAAGCCCCTACGAGCCCTAGCAATGCCTAAGTTACCCACCAGGGATACCCAAGCCGGACGATGGGGGAGACCTAAATAGGCTTTGATAGGTGATAGGCCAACCCATTAACCAAGACCTTGGGAAGGTTGGGAGACTCGGAAAGAGCCATGTTTGTAACTGCGCCCAGCCCTTCTAGAAGCCCGTAGCTGCGCTCTGACTTTCGCTTTGACCAGCCGAAAACCCTTTTGCCTCACCGCATGAGGAAATAATACGACGTCTGTCACAATGCATATGAAAAGGCGCAATCAATAAGCAAGTCGACTTTGCACACAGTATCAACCGCTACCCCAGACCCTGGCTTGTGTGGGTGTGTGTGATTGCAACACCACTTTACCCCTCTGAGCTGTCATTCGTCTCAACCAACGGGTCGAGTCATGCCACAAGGATCATCTTCGGGTCCAGCGGGGTAGAGCCATCACCATCATGCCATGCCCGTCGCCTCCTTCGATGCTACCCAAAATCCGGTGCCAGCCTCCCCCTCCGCAGGCAGCTTTTGTCCCATGAGAACATCTGCGGAATCCCGGGATGCACGAAATCGACCTCAACGGCGCACGGGAATGCTTGAAGGATGAATCTGGGGTTGGATAGGACTTCCAGAACATGCATCGTGATCCAAACCTGCATCTCACAAAGCATGGAGACAATACATAAAGCCCACGGTCCCCTCTGCCATTGAGGTCGGACATTCTGCGATAAGGTGGCAACCTCTCTCGGGACTCACCCATCACCATCCTCATTGACAACAGGGCGAACCTCAAAAGTCCCCAAACATGGAGAAACTCAATATCGACGACCATCACGATGGCAAGGCTATCGATTCGATCGTTGAACATGTCCCTCCAAAGGTTGAACAAGCTCGAGCCGCCGCTGAAGAAGAACACAATCTCTCAGCTTGGGAGGCACTTTCGAAGCACAGGACCGTTGTCTTCTGGTGCGTGTTTTTTGCCTTCAGTTGCATTGGCTGGTAAGTGACATTGGCACCTCAAGTGGCTACTCGTCCAAGGACTGACCGACTTTTGACCAGGGGATTCGATGCACAGGTCAATGGTGCCATGATCTCAGTGCCCCAGTTTCGGTATACATTCGGGTAAGCCTGCAGTGGCCCGCCGAGAGAACGTTTGTTCTTGTGATCCATGCACAGGTTAACTTTTGGGACAGCTACATCTACAAAGGGGACCCTGTGATCCCTGCTAGCTGGCAGAGCGGTTTCAACAGCATCTCCAGCGTCGGTCAATTTTTTGGTGGCTTCATGTGCTCGTGGATCTCCGACCGCATCGGCCGTCGTTACTCTCTCCTCGTAGGGCTGCTATTTGTCACTGGGGGGATATTCGGCGAGGTCTTCTCGAGCACCCGACCAGCTTTCCTCATCGGCAAGTTGATCCTTGGGATTGGCCTTGGGTTCTATCTTACCATCGGTCCCCTCTACTGCTCTGAGGTGGCGCCGGTCGTTCTTCGTGGTATAATCACCGGTGGCATCAACTTTGCCATTGTCATTGGCCAGCTCCTGTCCAATGCCGTTATCAAAGGATTTGGTGACAGGCCTGATCGCTGGGCTTTTCGAGGGCCTTTTGCCATTCAATGGCTATTTGTTGGTAAGATTACTCACCCCCCTGCCTTGCCGCAAACGTCCCACGTCTGACAGGTCTATCCAGCCATTCTTCTCGTCGGACTCCCATTTGCTCCCGAGTCTCCGTGGTACTACGTTCGCCGTGGTCGCATAGACGATGCTCGCCATGCGCTGGAACGTCTGCACGGCAAAGATGTCGACGTCGCACCGAAGCTGGCCATGATTATTCGCACCGTCGAGGAGGACGCCGAGTTGACCAAGTCTGCAAGATGGGATCAATGCTTCCGTGGCACCAACCTCGTGCGCACCACCATCTCAGTGGGTGCCTTTGCTTGCCAGCACCTCTCCGGTATTGTCTTTGTGTTGGGATTCTCGACCTACTTCTTCGAGCTTGCGGGTATCCAGACCAAGGACGCTTTCGACCTCGGCGTTGGCGTCACGGCCTGTGGTGTGGTTGGCGTCATGATCTCTTGGGCCGCCATCAACACTCTGGGTCGGAGAAAGTTGTTCGTCTGGGGTATGATTGGTATGACTGTTGTCCTCATGTTAATGGGCATTCTCGACGTCGTCCACACTTCGGCTGCTCGCTGGGTCCAGGCATCCTGCACAGTTGTCTATGCTCTTATCTACCAGATCACAATCGGCTGCATTGCGTTTGCCCTGCTCGGTGAGGTCTCCACTCCCTCACTTCGAGCGAAGACGGTCGGTCTAGCCACCGCATGTCAAGCTGTGTTTGGCACGGTGATGAACATTGTGGTCCCTTACATGGTCAACCCAGACAAGGCCAATTTGAAGGGTAAAGTCGGCTTTGTCTTTGGTGGAGCCTGCCTTTTGGGCACTTTATGGAGCTACTTCTACGTACCTGAGCTGAAAGGCCGTACATTCCAGGAGATTGATTATTTGTTCCAGCACCGAGTGCCCCCCAGGAAAATGGGCCAGTACAACCTTGAGGAAGTCAATGATGTTATATGAGCACCGCATGCACGACTGGATTTGGGGAGACGTGGGACATGATATACTGCGAGTTGGATACATATATAGGAAGACAGGGCATGGACTACAAGCAAGAGAGGGAATCAAGACAAGATACCTTTTATCAAAGCATACAGGTGCGACCATCCTAGCCTCCATCTATTCCTGAAGATCGGAACTAGTTCAACCTGCCAGGGCTGTGGGATGTTTCCGTTTACTCCTCCAAGGCTGTGCACGAGGACCATCCGGAATACAGGCCATAAAAAAGCAGCAAGACATCAAACTAGGATACATCAGCTCGTCATGCTCTCCCCAGACCACTAGGAGTCGTTCGGTCTTACTGCCCAGACAACTCTAAAGTCACCACGCCATCACAGGTATCGAGTAATTATGTCGCAAGTCAACAGAAGGACAGTCAGCAACAAGATACACAAGTACAGCCAATGATAAGACAACGACAACAGACGGATCCGACGCCAAAAAGGCCCAGAAGATTAGAATATACTAAAAGAAATAGATGGTCAGTAAGGTACGACACCAACATGACCCGCGATCTTGTGATTCGACTCTGGCCCCCTACACCTATACATGCTTTACATTCCTGGGGACGCGCGCACCGTATGCTGTATCAAGGTGGTGAGTGGACTCAAACACTAGCCCAACAGTTTCTGCTTACAAGCGCTCTTCCGCCGGCTTACGCACACCCAGAGCAGATCTCCCAGTCCCACTCAGGAAGCGGCTTGCGCCCGCTTACGAGCTGGCTTGGCCCAAATATATATATCTGGTTACATACTGCCGGGGGGCCGATACTCAGATCCTGACTTTGCCATTACCATGTCCGAATCCAGATCGAACGCTATTTTCAGACGGGTATCTGGAAAGGGATAACGCTTGATGTCATATAAAGAAAGGTAAGAAGGGCTCGCCCTTATGACATGGAATTTCCCCGTGCAGCGTGGAAACGTTTTCTTCACAAAGGGAGCAGATATTCGATTTCACCAGACTCCAACCGCGCGTGAATTGTTGGTCCTGACATACAATGGCACAATCGGCTACGGCTACTCCTCCTTCTGCTTCTGTTGATATGGCTGCTGATCCTGGTGCTGATCCTGGTGGTCCTGGTGGTTTTGGCGGTGCTGGCGGCGGTCCTGCCGCTTCTGGTCCACCCGGCCCTACTGGTATCGATCTTACTTCTGCCTCTGTTTCTGATGTTGGTGGTCCTGGCGGTGGTCCCGGTGCTTCCGGTCCCAACGGCATCGATCTCACTTCCGCCTCCGCTTCTGATCTCGGTGGTTTTGGCGCTTCTGGTCCAATTGGTGGTACTGGCTATGGTCAGGGTGATGAGGACGAATACGGCGATGAGGACGAATACGGCGAAGAAGAAGAATACGGCGAAGAGGAAGAATACGGCGGTGGAGGTGGCTACGGCGGTGCAGCTGGTGAAGCTGGCTACGGTGAAGCTGGCTACGGTGAAGGTGGCTACGGTGAAGCTGGCTACGGTGAAGCTGGCTACGGCGATGACGACGAATACGGCGCTCAGGCCGGCGGTGGCACTCAGGGTGGCTACGGTGCTCCGGCCAGCGGTGGCGCTCCAGGCAGTGGTGGCACTCAGGGCGGCTACGGCGCTCCAGGAAGCGGTGGCACTCCGGGCAGTGGTGGCACTCAGGCCGGCGGTGGCCCTCAGGGTGGCCAAGGAGCTCAGGGCAGCGGTGGCGCTCGAGGCAGTGGTGGCACTCAGGCTGGCGGTGGCGCTCAGGCCGGCGGTCACGCTCCTATCGATTCGCATTACTATGAGGTGCACGGCCCGGCATCAGCATTTGCTGCTGAATTCGACCCTCACATTTGTTCTTACGAGGATCTGTGGCATACATTCGAGCCCACCATGGTGCAGGCCAACGCTCAACATGGGGGGGAGCAATATGTGTCCTTGGTGAGTACAACCAGCCTCTGCATGATTCCGTCTACGAGCGGGTGAATCGCTCAAAAGATTGCGGGCGGACATGGCATGCGTTTCGGGGCTTCACTGCTGACTTTGTCTTCAGATTGACCAGGCAATTCAGGAGGTCAGCCAAAAGACCGGCGTCGAGTCATATCTCCTGTTATGTGTCATCATGCAAGAAAGTACAGGGAATTTGTTCGTCCAGGCAAGTTTCTTCCATGGAATTCTCTGGTTATGGAACCGAGTCCGACTTTGACTGACCATGTGGCGCGCTGGCATAGACTACCTACGACGCAGACCACGAGCCGACGGGAGGACTTATGCAAACTTCAGGTTGCCAGGGTTTGGCTGCATCGGTAAGCTTCTCTTGCCCCCTAACCTGTCCCGAAATCCTTGGGAGAAGGAGACGTCTCCCATGCAACACACCGTGTCTGATATCGTCATGACCGAGCTGACGGGATCCCGCGCCTTTGTGCTCTTTCTCCTGGCTTCATTTAGACAACAGCACCCACGTTAGAGGATGTCGTCGGCATGCTCGAAATGGGCGCCACCCACCTGCAGGGGTGCTTGACGCAGCAGCACGGCGACATCTATGAGGCCCTACGGGTATACAACTCGGGGAGCATCGCCGCTAGCGGCGACCTGGGCGATCCTGCAAGTGTTGGCACGCCGGATTATGTCTGCGACGTGGCAAACCGTACACGTAAGTGCTTGTTCCTTGTTTTCGGGCCTGCGTTGGAAATATTGCACGAGGGACTTGTCCTTTTTTGTTTTCTCACTAACTTTTTCGTGGCTGCAGATGGCTGGATCAGTGGCGGCAAATCCACGTAGCCTGGTCTGGCTTGACTTGGTGAAAGAGGGGGAAGAGGGATCGAGACCACGGGAAAGAGTCGCAGGGGAGAAGAGAGGTAATGGAATCTGGAATCAAATGCATGAGTCGGTTGGAGAGTTCACCATCACATTCTGTATATCTTCTTTGGAGCGCGGCGTTGAGTGGTTACCACATAGAGCTGCAAGGAAAGTACCGAGTTCGTATCATCATTTCCACACACACAACACGGTCAGGGGAAGAGTGTAGTCTCACTTCTGCGATCCTCTTCCATGAGTCTGTGTCTTTCGTCGAGTGGGACAAAGTAAGGGGCGAGAGAGAGCGGTGGTCGCGTATACACGGTATATCGATGTGGATGATATGTTTATACCTCGTCTACGAGGTAAGACGAGTAGATGAATAGATATGCAGGGAGAGTAAGTATGTAGGGCATGGCTAGGTACCTATCCTTGGGTAACCGAGGTATAGGCGGTATATAGTACGAGGGACGAGGTGTGAGGCGTGAGGTATCAGGTATCTCAATCGCCACGGTTTCACAATCCCTCAAATGAACAATTGACTCTCTCTCTCTCTCTCTCTCTCTCCTTGTGCCTTTATTTTCCTTTCGATTCTTTACGACGGTAGTCTATTCTCTATCATTTGTCACTGCTCATTTCCTCAAATTCGCCTTTGCCGTCTTCCTTTGCTTTGCTTGCAGGCCTCTCCCGTCTTGATTGAAACTCATGACCCGTCACCCACAGAACACCGACCGGGGGAAATCCATCGCCGTGAAACATTCCTTTCGGCTCGCCTTTCGTCGTGCCGAGTTTCTGCCCCCGGTCCCATGATGTTTCCTTCAAACGCCCTCCTTCTCTTCATACTCTATCACCTGCTCCTTTTCCCGCACCGCCATGGTGTCGTGGTGATGGTCGTGGATGGTGCGCGCCGCGAGCGCCGAGTCGCGCACCTCGGGTTTCGCGAAGATCAGGTCGATCTCTTCGAGCGTCTTGCCCGTCGTCTGTGTAGATAGATAACCCGGCGATGTCAGAAAGGGATAAAAACAAAGTAAATTTGTTGTGGGGGACTTGTATTGTGGATGGAAAATAGAATAGACACAGCAGACACAAGACACAGACACAGACACAGACGCAGACACAAGACACAGACACAGACACACAAGGTGGGATGTCCCGCAAAAGGATAGTGGGATAGCGATAAGAGACATACCTCGGGACACATAAAGTACACAAACGGCACGGCGATCGCGCACGACAAGAGCATCCAGATCCAAATCTTCCACCCGACATTCTGGAGCGCGATCCCCCCGGCGAAGACGGTGATGAAGCTGAACAGCCACTCGCCGAACGCGCCGGCCGCGCCGCCGAGGTGGCGAAGTTTGAGCGGTGCAATCTGTCACAAAACATCCAGCGAGGCGCCAAGGTCAGTAAATGTCAATTTCGCAAAGGGGTTTTTTCCTCTCTCTCTCTCTCTCTCTCTCTCCCGCGGAGATGGGGGGTCAAGGTCCAGCAGACGTGTGACACGTTCCGCAAAAAAAAAAAAAAACTCACCTCAGGTCCGTACAACCACGGCACGCCGATCCAGCCGTAGCCAAACACGAAGTTGTAGATAATCACAAACGCCACGGCCGTCCACTGCGTCGCCAGGGTCGGATGTGGCAGGCCGATCATGATCACAAACACGAGCATGCAGATTGTCAAGACGACGGCCGACCATATCAGGATGGGGCGGCGGCCGAAGCGTTCGATCGTGAAGGGGAGCGGGTACGTCCCCAGGGCGAAGCCGGTGTTCATCACCGCGGCGAGCAGTTGGGCGAGGAAAGGCGATAGGCCGACTTGGGAGAAGATGACGGTGGAGTAGTAGACGGACAGGTTGATGCCTATTTTGTGCATTCCTTTGGTTAGCAAAGAAGAAAGATAAAAGTCCACTGTGAAATGCCGAGAGGGGGGGAATAAAACAAACCCATCATTTGCTGGATGGACAGGATCAAGAAGGAGATCCTGATCCGGCGACCGGCGCGGATATCGCTTCGATCCCAAAGGAGATCCAGGAGGTTGAATGTATGCTCGTCTTCCTCTTCGAGTTTGATCGAGGCCAAGATCTCGTCACGCATGCCTTGGACGGCGGGATCTTCCAGCGGGCGGTCGTGCAGCCGCATCAAAATGCTGTCGCCTTCTAGGATGCGGCCTTTGGCGTAGTACCATCTGGGGGTGTCGGGCAGGAAGAACATGCCGATGATGGAAACCACGGCGAAGAAGGCTTGGAAGGCGATAGGGAATCGCCACGAGACCTGGTTCGTCATCCGTGTAAATCCCAGTGTCACCCAGTACGCCAGGGCGACACCGGAGATCAACCAGGCGCACTGCACGCCCACCTCAGGTCCTCGTTCTTTAGATGTGATACTCATCTCGGCCACGTAGGTGGGGACGCTGCAAGAGATGAAGCCGATGCCAAACCCGCAAAGAACACGGCCGACGATGATCTGGGCCACCGACCAAGCAGAGGCTTGGATGCTGGCTCCGATAATGACGAGAGCGTCCCCCGCCAGGATACAGCCTCGTCGTCCCAGAGGCATACCGAGCACGGTGACTGCTAGCGAGCATACTGCGGCTGCCAGTGTGTAGGAGGATGCAATCATGGGGATGACATATGTACCCGTGGGGTGGCCCATGGCGTCAAGGAAAGGTTCTGTGGTCTGGACGCCGCCGAGGACGCCAGCATCGTAGCCGTACATGCAGAAGGACTGTTTTTTTCTCTAAGCATGAGTCGACGAGTTTCAGGGTGCGAAATACTTACCAGTGAGCAACACAAGCTCATTATCCGGTAGAGGGCTCGACCCTTGACAGATTTGAGGAACATCATGATGGGCGATTGGGTGGACGAAGAGACTGGAGGACAATGCTGATGCCGTCCGAAGGCGTTCTATGCTCCTGATATCTATATAGAGAGATATGACTTGGCACATCCTGAATCGCCTTGGGTTGGGTGCCAAGTGGTTTGCCCCATCATCACGGCTGGGCAGTCTGTGATTCGTTCGGGATAGGAGCGTGTGGAAAACGCTCCCCATGGTGCCCCCGCATCGTTGCGGGAAATGAAACCCGGGGAAGTCGATTTTCTCTCATCCGAAGACGTGAGATAAAGTCGGCATTTTCATGGGTCGACCGCAATTTCCCGATTGCGTATCCATTCCATCGTGACCCAGACCAGGCTGACTAGGTAAGTCAGACCCTTGCAGCTCTGTGTTTCTGGTTTGTTTTTTTTCTCTGACGAGTAAAGTGCCATATCTTTGCATCTTTGCCCCAGTCGTAGATCCATTCCCAGACAGTTATAGGTTCAGGGTGGGTAGTATCGAAAATGTACCTCAGGCAGCAGTGGATCGCAGCTCGTGCTCTGCGCAGACTCGAGTCTGCACCCCTGTCCGGCCTTATGAGGTCGTCGCAGGCCCTGAAGCGAAACTCACCCGTCCTCGGTAGAAGCACCATCCACCAGACAACTCGCACCATGGCGACTGAGAACAAAACCAAACCCGGAGCCTCCAGCGAAGATACCTACCGGACGAGGGCCATCCAGGATCTGATGTCCCTAAAGGGCAGGGTCACTGTCGTCACTGGTGAGTGAGGAGTCGAAACTAAATCGTGCCATACCCCTGAACAACCGTAGGAGGCGCACGGGGCATTGGCTTAGCACTGGCCAGAGGTGCTGCCGAGCTGGGAAGCGATGTCGCCGTTCTTGATATCCTCGAAAAGCCATCTGACGCCTTCCTCGACCTCGAAAACCAATTGGGCGTCAAGGCCAAGTACTATCGGTAGAGTTGCCTCCTACTGCCAGGGCCTTGCGGCATTTAGCTGACTGGTGTGTTTCCCAGGACGAGCGTGACGGATCCAGAGGGTATGGCGCGGAGTTTCGATGCGGTGGTGAAGGATTTCGGGCGGATCGATAACTGGTTGGGCCGAGTCGTATTTTTATGGCAAGAGCCCTTGCTAACCATGGTTGCAGCGTCACTGCGGCTGGTATCGTCCATGATAAACCATTCCTTGAGACCACTTGGGATGAAGGCCTTAAGATTCTTCAAGTCAATGTGCGTGTGAAAACGTCCACCTTCGAGGACGAAACCGCTGACTATGGTTCAGGTGCTGGGCACGATGCTTGCCGCTCAACTGGCTGCCAAACAAATGCAAGCCCAGAAAACTGGGGGGAGTATCGTGATGATAGCATCGGTGACTGCTCAGACTGCTCTGCCAACTCAGAGGCTGAATATTTATGGCGCCTCCAAGGGAGCGGTCAGGACTCTCTGCTTGCAGTTGTCAGTGGAGCTTGGCCCTCTGGGAATTCGGGTCAACACAGTATCCCCTGGTTATATCGCCACCGAGATGACAAAAGGGTTGGTCATTACAAACCCTGGGTTGCTGGAAGTCTTCAAATCTGCACCGCCAATGGGACGAATAGGCGATCGGACTGATCTCAAGGGCGCGGTTGGATATCTCCTTAGCGATGCGGCGGCGTATACGACTGGCGCTGATATCCTTGTTACTGGCGCCGTGCATGCCGGTCAGGTGTAGTACGAGATCATAAAGTAGACTCGTCCTAACCAGAGCTTACTCTGCATTACCCATGGTGTATATCTGCCTGTAGCGACAACTCGTCATTCGGCCCAATCTGGACGTGATAAGGTAGCTTGAGAACAGGGTTGACGTCGGTTGAGCAGTCGTCTCATGGCTCTTCAGGGAGGTAGTGAGGCAGTTCGAGGTTGGAGTAGCCACTCCAAAACAGAGTCTCGAGGGAAAAGTCGTCGTACGAGGTATCGAAAAAGTTGAACGCGGGGTCGGTCTCGCTCAGGTTGAGGCCAACGTCAGAGCTACCTTGGCTCTGAGGTGACTGGTGTGTCGCCATCAAATCGCTTTCAGCATTGGTGGGCCGCCGTTTCTTTGCCGGTACATGTCCAGGCTCTTGCACGTCACTCCATGGATTCTGTCGCTTGACATTCGACTTTGACCTCCGGAGGAGA